AAGGAACGTATGTAGATAGATGACAGAGCCAGCCCTGATGTTTATTACTATGTGGAAATGGATCTTTCAGTGTTGTGGTACAGATGAAAGGGGATTTACTAACAAAAAATTTGGAGTTGAATCCTTTAAAAAGCTGAGAACTGTGCTAGCGGGGTAGCTCAGTAGTACATGTACTTAGCCTGTAGAAAGCATTGGGTTCATGCCTCCCCCTGCCCTCACCAACAACTAGCAACAACAACTACAATAAGCAAAAGGCCGAGAATCTATGGAGGTCAACCCTTAAAGCAGCCAGAGTCCAATCAGTTCCAGGAGTGGGGTTAGTAATTCATAGGCCCTCCAGGCATTAAGAGTCAACAAAAAGGATGTCCAGAGAGTGAGCACCCAGAAACGAAGAAGGATATACTTTAGACTGTGGGTGGCATTGCTTCTTCTTAGAATTTCGTATGGTTCCTGAATGTTGCCCATCATGTAGCACCATAACCTGCACCATGACAATTGCTAGCTGCACCATCTGTCTCCTCAGGAGGAGCATGTCTGCTTTTCACTGTATGCTATGCCTAGGATGCACTCATTAACCTTTAATGAATGATGTGATTAATATGGGTGCAACAGCTGTGCCTGGTCCATCTCATTCCTGGGTGAAATGAAAACAAGCAGCCTGGAGTGCTGTTCTGAGGTCACGGGAAGGAGAACAATTAAAAGGTCCTAGGATCCCACTGATGGTGTTGAAACCCTAGTCCCTAGAGTGAGTCTTTTGTGTTGCAGGTGGAGAAGCAGCAGCAAATGGATAGAGCTAGGAGGAGGCTTGTGATAGACCATGTACAGGAGGATCTCAGGTCTAAAAGCCCCCAGCATGAGAGTGCTAGCCTGGTCCTCATAATATTCACAAACACAATGAGACGGCTTAATAGGGACCACATTTACTTACAGGAAAGCACACACACCATAACCATAAGGCTAGGTGGATTTTAAAGGAAATAAACCATGTATCCAGCACTTACATCAAGAGGCAGGGCAGGGATCAAAGTCTAGAGGCTCCCCACTCCCTAATCACCCCGTCCATTACTTGCTGGGTAACATAGCTACAGGTCTCCTGCGTGAACTCGCCTATATGACCTGCTTCGTGGTTTGTCCCCTCCCAATCCATGTTGGATACAAAATGTTTTCATTCAACATACACACCCAGGGTGGTCACATGCCTGCTTTCCAGCAGACATTGTCAGGCACATGGGAAAGGTGAAGGACAAATTCCTGATCTCAGGGGGAAAGGACTTGACTAAGCATATATTATTTGGCATAAATTCATTGTTTACTCATCCCAGACAAATTTGGAACTAAGCTCCTTTTGAAAGCCATGGTGTTTCAGTTCTGCTGGGGGAAAGAACCGACTGAGCTGGGTGCTTGTGGCAGTGGGGATCAGGGTGTGGACAGGGGCGTAGGGTGACTACTGCTGGAGCCAACGAGTGCACTGTGGCTACATGTCACCTTTGGGAAGACAGCACCAGGTCCCCCAGGGAACCTAAAAGGTATTTGAGAAGATTCACTTAAGGTCACGGCCATGTAAGTGCCATGTGAAAGGAAACAGGACCCTACAATGAAAGCTTCTTGACCCCCTAAGGTCATGCTAGCAGATAACTTCAGGATGCTCAGTGGGGAGCTCAGCTTCTCTGCTCACCCAGGGATGCCAAAAGGGACACTACAACCTCAACCCCAGGAACAGGAAGTTCCAGGGAAGGAGGCCAGGACATCTGAAGGCAACTTGCAATAAATTCAGACAGTTGTGAAGGTGAGGGAATAGCCATCAGGACGCCTCCCTGAGGACCACCTCCCTAACTACGCTTCAAATCACAGGTCACTTGTATCCAAACTTCTTGGGGTGGACTGGGGTTCCCAGTGACCTCACCAGACTGTGGATGGAATGGTCTGAGTGGAAAGACTGAATTCTCCGCATCCCGCAAAGGCTGGACACAAAGGGGGACATTGTCCAAGTAGATGAGACCAAGGGACCTGAGTCTAGCTCTCAGGGAAAGCACTGTGACCTGTGACCTGAAGCCAGCAAGGCAGAAGAGGGGATGCTGTGGAGAGCTTCCACCTCTGTCACCTGGCCCCCACAGGAGCTCCTGGTCTTTTGTGACTGGATCCCTTCCCTGCCTAGAGAAGCCCTCAGATACGTCTCCAGGGTGCTTGAAAAGCAGAAAGTAAAGCATATGGGCTGTAAAGGAATAGTCAATAGCTTATATCCAGGAACATGCAGTCTTTTATTAATATAGTAAGTCACAGGATGGACAGGGACTTTAATAAACACCGTAACTTAAAATGGGTGTGTGTAAAGCACGGGACGTGAATACCCCGGCTGCGTATTTCAGGAAAGGTATGCTTTTCCTTGAGGACAAAGTCTCGGGGATCAGGAATGCCCCTGCACTTTCTTGTCTATGCCCCCACTTAAAGAAGATACCAAGTTCCAATTTGAATTAATGATGACAAAAACATGATCTTTTCCTCCCTACTCCCCTTAAACTCCATCTTCAGACTCTTGGCAGACGTTTAATCCCTCAGAAGACCTTCAAGCTCTTTTTCAATACAAACTTCAATTTTGTTTATCTATTTGGAACATAGACCAGATTCCCAGGCCTGCCCTATGACACCAAAGGCATTTCCCAGTAACACAGCCAATAAGATTTGGAAGCACACGTTACAAACACCCCAGACCTCAGCAGGACATAACTAGCCACACGACCTCTGACCTCAGCAGGACATAACTAGCCACACGACCTCTGACCTCAGCAGGACATAACTAGTCACACGACCTCTGTTGGAGATAGAAATTTACGGTCTCCTCCCTCCTCTAGCACTCTTCTTCTCTTTGAGGAACACCTTCAGTGAACCTTGCTGGCTGTCCCTCAGCCATCTCCCATGCTGTGACTGTCTCCTTGGCTTCCTTGAAATCAACTATGTTGTCTTTGTCGGTTACTTTATCTGGGTCAGTGGCTGAATCAGAACACAGTGGCCACCAAGACACCTTCAGTTCTCAGGTCATCGTTCGCACACCTATTGATTTAGCCTCTGTTGCCAAATTTCCTGGCACTAAAAAACCAGGAGAAGAAATGTACTTGGGTGAGCATAACATATCAACAGATATTCATGGGCAGACATGACTGAGTCTCCAGAGAACTGGCCCTGGGCTGCAAAACACAGTCCCTTGGAAAAGAAGGCTGGGAGCCTTATTTCACAAATGCCAGCTTTCAGGTACGGGGAATAAATATTATGCAGGTGGCTAATATGAATGACAGCCAGAGTAGGGAGTGCTGTAAACAGCTTTAGAAGGAATGGTCTGGGACACAGTCGTTGGGATGTTTATTTCATGGGCCAATAAGCAAAATCCTCCCTCAGAAGAGAACAGGAAGAGATCTAAAGGCTGAGGAAAGCCATCTGTGTAGGATATGAGTGGGGGACAAGAAGGAGAAGAATCTCCAAGCCAGAGAGGCAAAGACTGCAGGTTCCTTCCAGACAGAGGGCATAGGAGATGGCTGGAGGACCTACTAGCTAGATTCTAAAAGCAGACCAGCTCAGGGACAACTGGGCTCAGAAACTAGCTGTGTGGCTTCGGGCAAGACACTTACATTCCCTGAACTTGTGTTTCCTAATTTGTGGCTTGGGCTATTCCCTTGTACCTTTGTTGGGCTGTTAAAAGCACAGATATGTAAGGTAGTATGGTGGTGATTAAGTCACGGCTGGTTTGCTTACTCTAGTGAGATGTTTGGAGGGTTTTAAGTTGCTGGGAAATAGCCTGGCAGGTCTCTGGCAGATGATCAGCATTATGTGGGCTACTGGGGGTCAGTAGGACAGTAGGAAGGGCGCCTGGAGGCTGTTTACACTACTGCTCCCCAGTTAGGGGCAGGGCTGGAGGGCCACCACTGAAAGGCAGCAGAATGGCCATCTGTCCCTCAGGTGTCTCTCAGCCATGCCAGATGGGAAGGACAGGCAGCCAGTCACACCCTCACCACTGGGGAGCCCCCTGCTCCCAATTCCTGATCGTTCCAGGCTGACATCCCACTGCTCACCAGCTTTTGCTTACTAGTGACAATGTCACGTGCCTGGGATTCTAAGAGCCTCAAGGACAGCAGCCATTTCCTTCACTCTCACTAAAGTGACCAACGACACAGGCTCCACTCTGGGACCTAGGGGGCTTCTGAATAATTAATTTACTAGGAAAAGAAGGACTGGCTTAAAGCAAGATGCTCCCAGAAGGCTAAAATCAGGGAATCTATATGGTCCTGGGAGATCCTCGATGCATCTCTGACCCAGGGCCAGCCTTCCTCTGGCTCTCCAGGCAGCACCGTCCTCCACCTGAGAAGCATTCTGGAGGTCACAGATCATGGAGAAGACTCTTCCCCCAGATCTCTCAGACCCTGCTGCCATTCCTGCTTGGGATACACAGCCCATAGCCCATTTCTAGCTCGAGGTCGCTTTGAGAACCACAGATGAGGGGGGCAAAAGCCCTCCAGTCTCCAGAGACCCTCGGGGATGCTGAGGCTCAGATGCTAGGAGTAGGGGTCTTGCATACTCCTCCTCACTGACTACCCTTAGACCCCAGACATCCCTACTCCTCCTGCTGTCCAGCTGGGGGGACACGTAGGGAAAACGTGCCACCTCCACTCTGGTTATTCCTCAGCTATCTGTTTGCCCTAAGGTTTTTCCTCTGGCAGACCCCACTACCCTTGCTCCCTGATTCTGCAGGCTTTTCCCCACGAAGGATGCCCTAACCCCTAACCCTGCAGGTCCCCCATCGCTTCCAAGGCTCACAGCCTCTCCTCCCTATACACTGTCGTTCCCCCCACCTTCATTCCTTTCCCAACCCTTCCAAGCCTTCATCCCCCATTCTCCTTCAAGTCCCCCGCCCATCCCTCGGGGCCACCGCGACCCCTGCTGCAGGTCTGCTGTCCCCCTCCTGGTCTGGCAAAGCCTAAGGTGGCCGGCCACCACACCTGACCCACACTCACCTGTTGGGCCGACGGGAGCACACCCGGCCTCGCCTTCTCAGGGTCTGGCTCGCGGTCCCGCGGAAGCAACCCCTTCTTGGGGTGCATGTGCCGGCACAGGCAGGTGACCCCGCACAGCGCAAGGATGCTGGTGGCGGTGCCCAGCGTGGCGCCCAGCGCGATCACAGGCACCGACAGCACCATGGTGCCTGCTTCCCGCGGCTCGCCCGCTTCCCGCCGGCCTCCAGCACCTCTAGCTCCCGCAGGGCTCCAGCCGCTCTCCAGACTCCGAGGGCGGGGACGCAGCCAGCCAAGAGGGAGGACCGCTGTAAGGACGTCAGAGGCGGAGGCTGACCCGGAGGCGCGTCAACCACAACCCCCTCCCCGCCACCATGTGATCCTCCCCCTATCGCCAGTAAGGCCCTGGTAATCACCTCAGGGCTGTGCGGGACCATGACTAGTGTTCTACACACACACACACACACACACACACACACACACACACACACACACACACACACACACACACACACACACACACACACTGGTAGGTGACAACCTCCAGGTTGTGTGGTGCAATTCCTAGAGCACACAAATACACACATACATACACAGATAGATACCATGTGTGCACACACACACATGAATACACATGCATGAGCACATGCATACATTGGCATGTGATAACCTCAGGGTTGTTTTGATCCATTTTTTAGTGCTCTATGTATACATATACATACACATATACATAAAGTCAAGCACACACACATGTACACACGCACATGCTTGCACACACACTCTGGCAGGTGGGTAATCTCAGTGTTATCTAGATGCTCTGCACATGTGTACCCACACAGGCAATTGGACCTAAGAATGACTGGAGGTTACTGAAGTCACAGTGTTAATCAACCCAGTGAATCAGGGCTTCCGCCCAGATCTGGAACTCACTCTGGGTAGCTGGTTACCTCATCAGACTAGTAACCCTTTACCTATCATTCCACTCCTCCCCCTACCCCAGGGCTGGTAAGGAGGCTGTAAAGTAGATGTTTCAAACTTTGCAGCGCAAGAGTTGTCTCATTTCCTGGGTTCAAAGTGGCTTCCCACCAAGGACAGCAGAGGCTGGGAGAGGGAATGTAGGGGAACAAGGAGGGAGATGGGGCAGACTGGGGTGTGGCCCAGGACTTACAGATGCAGTGCGGAGTCTGGCTTGAAGGGCCTGTGATCAGGTAGTCATCTTTGGGTTACATGACGGCTTACATTTATTACCCAAACTGACCGCCAAGGACCTTACCTTGCTGAAGCTGCGAGGCCCAGAAGGGATACTGGGTCACTAGAAACATTGTCACCATCCGGAACCCACACTCAGTGTTTGCTGGCTCCAAGTCCTATCCTTGGAGGGCAGCAGTAACAGAGGTTGCCGCTGGGACAGAGGGCTCACAATGTGGAGAATGCGTGTGCTTAAGAATGAGACAAAATGAGAATTTCTGCAGGAAGATGACTATCAACTCTACTGAGCTTTTGGGGTTTTTCATTATGTGGAAGTTTGATCCTTTGATAACTAGGTGTGGTTTGTGGGTCTAGGTATGCTGGGCACATATGAGAAGGGGCTTAGCAGAATTTAATCCACAGCTTCCAGGCAGCCGATGACTCCGGAGCTGGAGATGTCTAGCAGCTCTTGTCTGTCTGGATTCAGGTGTGTTCATTGCCTGGGTTCCCCTTTGTCTCCCCCTAATTTATCACTGACCCACTGCAGAGGGTGCCACCAGAGACTCTGACTTAGAACAGTTGCTTTTCTATATAGCATGATTCTGCAGGCTGGCTGGCCTAAGCTGGCTGGTTTCTGCTCAGCAGTCTCCGAGGACTGAAGTTGTCTAGGGGTCCAGCTGGGCCGGGCTGTGCAATGGCGCACTCACACAGGCAGCAGCTGGTGCCAGGTCACCACAGGAATCAATCTGAAGCCTCTGCAGGCATCCTTGGTTCTCCTCCACATGGCCTCTCCCTGTAGCCAGAGCTCCCAGCATGGCAGCCAGGTTTGAAGAGAAAGGAAGACCCAACTGCCGGTTCTCCTAAGGCATGGGTACAGAAGAAAATCGGTTCTTTGCTCATAGTTACTCCCTTCTCAATTCTTTTAGACATCTACCAGAATGGATGTTTCTGAAGCCTACAGCTGATTCTGTCGCAACATGCATAACCTTTCAGAGATTCTCCATGGATAGACCCCAGGGGAGCTTAGATGGGAGCATGTCGCTTCTTGGTTGGTCCTGCTAATCCATCTATGCTTCTCTTCAGTCTTCCCCAGTGCATACGAGATCTATTCAAGAAACGAGCATCTTTAGAGGCTCTATAGCACCCATGGCTGCACACAGCAGGCACTCAATAATTAGTAACCCACATAATCATCTCCATTTTCTATATCAAGTCCATTTTATTGCAATGATTTTTCCACAGTTATTAGTTAGGTGCCTGCTGTATACCCGGAATATTTTTCTACTAACCCCTATTTGTTCACAACTGTGAACTGCAACCCCCCACCCCCACGTCCTGTGCTCTATTTAGCTGCCCTTGGAGATTCTCTTGGTTCCTGAGCCTGGCAATGCAAAACATTCTGGGGAGATAAGAGGCTTAATTAAGGCAGTCAGCTGCAGGTCTCCCAGGCCTTCACTGCTCTCCTGGGAGACTCTTAATGCCACCAGTCAGAATAGAATCCTAAGGGAGGCCTGGATGGAAGGATGAAGAGCACTTAATACCAGAAAATGTCCGAGGGACATCAGACACCTGCCATGTGGTCCATCGTTGCTATGGTTACTGGAATGCTAGCACTGCAGTGGTCCCAAGCCTAGGAAGAAGAGCCCACCTCTCTTCTCTTTCATATGCAATGAACCTACTATGGAGCCAGGAGTGGAGCCCAAGGCAGCTGAGCCCCAGGGGTTGTCAGGATGCAGAGATGCCTTTGCTATCCAACCAGTCAGCCTCACGCATCCCATCAAAGGGGTAACTTATGCTTCCTATGACTGATATCTAGGAAGTGGCCTTTAATGAAAAGGCCTGGCTGGGTTTCTTTGACAAATGAAATCATGTGGTCTGATAAAAGCGGTTGACAGAGTCAGCCTGGAAGAATGGATGAGACAGGCTGAAGAAGAGGCCAGTGGATAATTGGGCATGTTTGGGCTGCCAGGCTGCCAAGGTCGGACAAAGGCAACATTCTGGGGGGGGGGGGGGGTACTCAAGCAGAAGAAGGCTTTCTAAGGGCTATCCCCCAGCCTCAGGATGGAGTGTCATCATTGTTATTTTGATGGCTGCTTGGATGTCTAAATAGTGGGAGGAATCGCTCTTAGTCTCTAAGATCCTGAAATACTTTCATCCTGGAGAAAAAAATTCAAATGCAGTCACATGACTGCTCACCGTGGGATACCTTCTGAGAATTCTTCAGGCCACAATCCCATCATAGGATGCACACACTTACAAAAAAAAACAGAGCATACAGGTCAGCCAAACCCTGTGGTTCCTGTATGCAATTAAGGGACACCAGAACCACAGACTGCACAGAAGCTGCATCCACCACAATACAAATACTCTTTCACCGTAATGATTCTTCATTAGTATAAGAAGTGCATTAGAAAATACCGACCAGAGTAAGTGTAGTAAATGCATAAACAGTAACAGTGGTGTGTTGTCATGACTAAGTATTGGGCTCTGTACGTAACTGTATGCACTGTGCTTTTCTATAACTGGCCATGTAGCATGCCTATTCTCACAAGCATGGCCATAGACAAGTGAAAAATTCATCACAGCAATGCCAGGTCAGCCCATTGCCATTTCATGGGCCCAGCACAGAATGTGCTGCCTGTCATTGACCACAGCATGCCTGTAATAAAACATGCAATAGTGTAGGGATCCAAATATGAGTGAGCAAGGCCCAGGAATATGGATTCAGGTTGCCCTCAAATGCAGTAACTAGTTCATGATTTCTTTTTACGCTAACAGAAGAAAATTAAGTCAAAAGTCAAGACAAGTTGAGAACCTTGGTGGGAGCAGCAGCTTTGTGGGTTTTAGCAAAGTAAGAGTGGTAGTTAGACTGGGAAATGTCCTCCAGGGACTCGAGTATCTGAACACTTCGTCCTCAGATGGTGGTACCTTATTGGAGGAAGTATGTCACTGAGCTGGCTTTGCCCCACTTCCTGTTTCGATCCCTTTGCTTCCTGTGTGCAGATGAAATGTGACAGTCCAGCTTCTTACCCTTGTGACCACACCATGCCACACTCTGCCTTCCCTAGCATATGGACTCTAACCCTCTGAAATCATATGCTAGAACTGAGCCTTCCTCCAGTTCTTTTGATCACGGCAGAGACTCTTAGGAATGGGCCTCAGATGCTATCTGAAGGCATGGTTAGCTTTTGGGTTGTCAGCAGAAACTAGTGGTTTGTTAATCGATCACAAAGGATTTTTGTCATATAGTCACCAGGATGTCAGATCAGGTACAGTAATGGGCAACAAATATGACTGTTAAGAAAGATGAACATAGCTCGAGTTAATCGTCTCTGGGCTTTAACATCCCAGGTCTCAACAGCCAAAGTTCTACTCAGTCAATCCACTTTGCAGATGCTGTCTGTATTGCTGGTGTGATGGTTTCCTTTGGTTTGGCTTGGATTTTGTTTCTGTTTTCTGGGAATTTCAGTTCACAGCCTCCCCAACTGACCAAGTGTCTCATCTTTTGTGTAGAGGCCAGACACCCCCGCCTTTTTTGTTTTTTGTTTTGTCCTGTGGCACTAGAAAGGCTTATTCCTAGAGTCTGCTAAGGATGAAAGTGAAGTGACAGCAAGATAGTCAGAGACAGAGACAGAGACAGAGACAGAGAAATAGTCGGTATACTCATTAAGGAAGAAATCCCTAGACCACAGCTATTATGACTCAGATCTGGTCTTTCTTTCTTTCTTCCTTCCTTCCTTCCTTCCCCTTCCTCCCTTCCCCTCCTCTTTGACTGACATAACATTTACAAGTGACTATACTCATAACAGGAGTATTATACCCACAGAGTAAACAATCAAGAACACAGTATGAGCTAAGGATATAAAGGCAGAAGATGAGGGAAATTTTAACCAACTAAAAACCATCTTTTACAACACATTGATTATATTTTTTCTGTGTCTACAGCTCCTTGTACTTTATAAAAAACAATTATTTAATGTCTAGACTATTCAAAATAATTTATTATCTTTTAATTTTAGTTTTTCTAAAATTTAAAGTTTGATAGCAGAGATATTGAGGAGTGCTTAGTTTTGGAATGATTAT